ATGAGGCCTGGTAGAGAGATGCGGGGATGCTTTGGGGTGGGCATTCCAAGGGACAACCAAGGGTTGTTGTTGAGACGACACTGGCCGGAGATTGGGCGAGTCGTGTTGCCCTGTAACCTAGCCGGGTGGGGGTGTGAGGCCTGGGAGAGCTTGAAAGGGAATAAAACAGTGTTGGACAGTCTTAGAGAGTTTTGGTTGGGAGTCTAGGGGTTCTGAGCATTCGAGAAGAGGTCAGTAGTCATTCATAGTTTTCAACATCTCCTCTAATTCTCTTGAATTTCTCCAATAGTTCTTAGATTGATTCTTTCAGCTTGCCACGTGCCACCTGTCGTTTGGTGACGTGGACGCCTCACGACCCGTGATCAAGGGAAGCGTCAGCCGTGATTGATTGGAGGTTACTGCACAAAAGCGGTGCGGTTCTTTGAGTGAGCCATGACTACCATGGATGAGATTTTGGAGAGGGAGCTACATATTGGAGCAAACAAATGGCTAATGACCTTGGAGAACAGACGCAGATGGCTACAAGAGATTGTGAGGGACATGTCTTTACGGCTGCAAATGGAGCCAGAGGTCGAAGGGGGAGCGATTTTTCTGGCTGGTTGGCTGAAGAAGAAAAGTGAGGACATGCTGGGGATCATCTGGGACCTGGAGGAGGGGCCGGATCCTCGACTTGACGTCTGCATCGATTGGAGGAGAGCAGATGGCATCATGTCTGTCTGCAAAACCCTCTTCAATGAAGGTCGTGATCTGTATGCTCTTCTGGAAGACCGGTTGGAGGGCATTATTGACCGTGAGGACGAGCACGTGGCAATAGAGGTAACAGCGCTAACATCAAGACCATCAACAACATCAATAAAGGGGTGCGACAACAACAACATCAACAATGCTAACAGCGGCGATAACACAAGCAACAACAACAGCAACCAAAACATCAACAACAACAACAACAACAACAACAACAATGATAATATCAACAGCAATGACGACGATGATGGCAGTGACGACTTCGGAAGCAGCGGGGTTGACAGTGGTGCCCGTGCAGATATGATCATCATCGATAGGATGCGGGAGATGCCGCAAGCGGACGAAGGGGAGATTGGGGTTGGTATGGAAAAGGGGTTTGCTATCTCCCCCCCTCTCAACGATAGTGACGACAACGACAACAACAAGAACAACAACAACAACAACAACAACAACAACAACAACAACAATAACAATAACAACGACGACGACAACGACGACGACGGTGGCGATGACCAAGGGAGCAGCGGGGTAGGAAGCGGCATCCGGGCATCTGAGATTATCAGCGTGATGGGAGTGATGCTGCAAGCGGACGTGGTGGGATATGGGGTTGATATAGAGAAGCGGTTTACTGCTTTTCCTCCCTCCAACCTCGATACGAAGATCTTCCTTAGGTTTGGCAGAGGATAGGTGTAGGATAGCTGGGGGTGATTGATGTTGCCCGGCCTGCAATACCAATCATCAACGAGGGGCTGATGGTCTTGTTAGTTGGCGGTGGGTTGTTTAGGTGTTAGGTAGCAGGAGGTCATTCCTTCCATGCGCAGGGAAGTAATCGATGCCCTCTGACAGTTTCACACGATAATGCATATTGGATACTGGACTTGACGTCCATACTATACAACTCTTATCTTTGACAGAGCTTTGCTTTTAGGCTTGATTGATAAAAATCATATACAGCATATTGTGCTTAGGGTTTCATGATTAGACTCTGATAGATATAGAATAAGGACATATATGGATAAGTTTCTGACTGTTGGACATAGTTACACAACACGATATGGGGATGTTGGACCCCATTTCCAGCAGATGCAAATCAGTTCATTGTAATACACATCAAATCATGATTAGGGTTTCCATTGATTGGATTGATGCCTCAGTTTGTTTTGGAGACTCTATAGACTAGATGGATATGGACGCTGGACCCATTTTCAAGCACACATATTCACACAATTGCACACGGACGATGGACCTCATTTCCAGCACATACATTTTCATCATTGTACAGGGACGCTGGACCCGATTTCCAGCAGGTGTAGCTCCCCACCAATAGATGGAGCCTTCGACGACCGGGCCTACTTACTGGGGATGCTCTTATCACCTCGTTAAGTAGGTTTCCCGTATACGAAGTTCAGATTATAAAAAAAAAGAAAAAAAAAGAAAGGGATTGATTCTCAGCCGAAGTTGGGTAATGGGGTAATGTCCCGGTATCCCAAATGACTTGTGTAACTCTATATGGGACGCTGGGCCCGGTTCCCAGCACGTGCTGCTCCCCACGAATAGATTGGACCATTTGTCCCAAAAAAAAAAAAAAAAAAAAAAAAAAAATAGGAAGGCCAAGAGGGTAGTAGGGGGGGGGGGGGTGTTACATGCTGTGCCTGCACACAAGGGCCATTTTCCAGGCCCTGCGTCCTTCAGGCCGAAAGCCTGAAATCCAGGGC